TATCCCCTAATTGGTGTATTCTTTGTAAAGATCAGAACAAGGACTATTACCACTTACTAATCTCTTGCTCCTTTGCTGCAGCTTTATGGAATTGGATTTGTGTTGTTTGAGTGTAGGTGGAACCTGCCATCTGATGTTAGCTCGTTGTTTAGTCCGTCTACATTAGAATGGCACACAAAGAGAGGGAGAATTATGTGGAAGTGCATCAGAGCAGCTATCTTGTGGACTGTTTGGGAAGAAAGGAACACCAGAATTTTTGTTGAAAGGGAAAGAAGCTTTTCAGAAGTTAAAGATTGTATTATGACAAGGGCAACGCAGTGGCTGAAAACATTAAACCTTTTTGATAACTATTCCTTTGATGGATGACCAATGGAGGAGCTGGTTAGCAGTGGCTAATACTTCTATTAGGAAGAACAGATATGTGGTAGAATGGGTGCCACCTTGGGAGGAGTTTATTAAGCTGAACTTTGATGGGAGTGAAAACAGAAACAAATGTTTGAAGATTTCTGTTCTCATTTCATTGAGAAGATCTGTACAAATATATACAACTTCTAAGAATCAATCTAGGAGCTATTCTAGGAAACTAACCCACTARTTTAGCCTAAAGAAAAAAAAGGAAACTAAATCATAGCCAAAAAAAGGAAAATAATCACAGCCTAAATAAGAAAATAAATAACTAAAAAACAGGAAAGATTTTGACTCGGATTCCACAAGGAATAATCCCCGTCATCCCTTTCCAACACTCCCCCTCAAGCTGGTGAATGTATATCAATCATTCCCAGTTTGGATACATTTGTCTCAAACCCGACCCTAAGTAATGGTTTAGTGAGGATGTCTGCTTCATGTGATCCAGATGGCACATAGGATAGACAAATTTTTCCACTTTCGATCTCTGATTTGATGAAATTTCTGTCAATGCGAACATGCTTCATTCGATCATGTTGAATAGGGTTGTGTACAATTGCTATTGCTGACTTACTATCACTATACATTTTCATTGGACTATCAAGTGGAACATTTAAGTCTAACAGTAGTCGTTCAAGCCATATTAACTCACAAATCTCTTGTGCAATTGCCCTGCATTCTGCTTCTGCACTACTTCTGGACACAACAGTTTGCTTCTTACTTCGCCATGTAACAACATTCCCCCAAACCTTTGTACAATATCCTGTAGTAGACTTACTGTCCTCAACCGAACCAGCCCAATCAGCATCTGCAAATCCCTCAACTAACCGGTTATCACTTTTCTTGAACAATATACCCTTGCCAGGAGGTCCTTTCAAATATCTAAGGATCTGATCAACAGCACACTGATGTCTCTCGGTTGGAGCATGCATAAACTGGCTAACTATGCTAACACTATAGGCAATACCGGGCCTAGTAAGTGATAGATAGATTAGTTTTCCCACAAGACGTTGATATCTCTCTTTGTTAGCTGGAGGATCATTCTTAGAGATCTTATGCTTCCAATTCTTCTCTAGTGGAGTGCTAGCTGGACGACAACCAAGCTTCCCGGTTTCCTTCAACAGATCTAGGATGTATTTTCTTTGAGAAATGAAAATACTAGTTTTGCTTCTAGCAATTTCCATCCCAAGGAAATACTGAAGTTTTCCAAGATCCTTAACTTTGAACTCAGATTGTAGAAGGCCCTTGAGATTCGTAATCTCATCATTGTCATCACCCGTGATTACCATATCATCAACATACACAATCAAGATTGATTTTTTTCCATCCCTTGATTGTTTTACGAATAGGGTGTGATCTGCCTGTCCTTGTGTGTATCCAAATCTTTTCATAACTGTGCTGAATCGAGTGAACCATGCCCTACAAGATTGTTTTAACCCATACAGAGACTTCTTCAATTTACACACTGATCCTAGTTTTTCTTTGTCTTTGAAGCCAGGAGGCAGCTTCATGTAGACTTCTTCATCAAGAGTTCCATTCAGGAAAGCATTTGAAACATCCATTTGGTGCAATTCCCAATCCAAGTTGGCTGCCATAGACAAGAGAACCCGTATAGAGTTCAATTTTGTAACTGGTGCAAAAGTTTCTTCGTAGTCAAGCCCGTATGTTTGCGTATACCCTTGAGCAACCAAACGTGCCTTGTATCTCTCTATTTTCCCTTCCAAGCCTACTTTCACCGTAAAAATCCAGTTACAAAGAGTTGTTTACAGCATGTCTTTGCTTTCCCGTTGGGGTTGAATCTTATGTATGAATCCATTAGAGTCCAAATATCAGAGCATTGATTGGAAAAATGAGGAAGAGATACCAAGGCTTACAAAGAGTTGGTGTCACAACAACGTGTCTTTGCTTTCTTGCTCAGGGTTGAATCTTATGTATGAACCCATTAGAGTCCAAATATCAGAGCATTGATTGGAAGAATGAGAAAACGCCAAGGCTTACAAAGAGTTGTCATCACAACAATGTGCCTTTGCTTTCTTGTTAGGGTTGAATCTTATGTATGAATCCATTAGATTTTATATATTGGGAAGTAAGGATCTTCCATTAGTTTAGGAGGTGTATGCTCTTGTTCAATTAGAAGAGATTGAAGTAATGTGCTGAATCTCCTTAAGGGGAAGCAAATCACTCTAGTAGCAAAGGGTAGTGGTGGAATGAAGAAGAATGATCCCCAAAGAGAGATGATGATAAGAATAAATTGCGGTGTACCCATTGTCAGTAATTCAAGCATACTCGTGAGAATTGTTGGAATTTGGTGGGGAAGCTTAAGTGGGCAACCAAGAACCAAGAGCCAAATAAGAAACTTCTTCAAAAGAAGTACAATCCAGCCAATTTGGTATCTCAGGAGTCTTAAATCAACGGTTCAGATACTAGTACGCCTTAGGCACATCACTTTGGTTCGAATTCCAAAGAGGATATCATTAACTCCTTCCATGACCACTTGGAGTTGTATGGTAGGGCCTTACGCCAGATGGGGACTGCTCCTTTTACATCTATACATCAGGTAACATAGCCTTTGCTTTCCATGTGCCTTCCCATATTCCTAAGTCTCAGTTCATTAACTCGGGGGCTTCCAAACATATTACTAGTAAGCCAAATTTATTTCAACCGTATAGCCTTATTTCTAGTATAGATAAAGTGAGACTAGCATATGGATTTTTATTTGCCATTGCTGGTCAAGGATTTATCTCTCCTTCATGGTCTTTCAGATACAAATGTTTTGCATGTCCCTAAGCTTCCTATAAATCTATTGCCCATTAGTACCTTTAATATGTCTTTGAACTGCAGTGTAATCTTTCTTCACTCTTGTGTGTTTTAGGATTTGAGTCAATTAGTCTGTTGAGTCAGTCAACTAAAAGCCAAGTTTACTTGTGGCATAACTGTCTTGATCATTTGTCATTTGAGTCTTTGAAATTTCTATTAGCTACTTTATTTAAGTCCATTTCAGTATCAAATTTGCAATTTCAAACATGTCAACTGAGTAAACATTGTAGAACTTTTTCTTCCCATCGTAGTATTTTGATGTTTGGGGCCCCATTACTATAGCGTCTAAGGGTGGGTATAAGTATTTTATTAGTTTGATTGATGACTACTTTAGATATACTTGGATCTATCTTGTACATTTCAAGGAAGAAGTTCCAAGAATTGTAAAGGAATTTCAAGTAGTGGGCTAACTCAAAATAAAAAATTTATGGTTCTTCGATATGTGAACAAACCGTTACAGAAGCTCTACAGCTGGCCAGGGAATTGTGCTTGACATTCACATCGATGCAATGATCAGCTAGGCAAGGGGTGAATAGAATAGATTTGTATTTGGAGATCATCCCCCAGGACGGTTATATGCAAGTCTATATATGATATTGGGGCTTAGCCTATCTCTCAATGGGGGTGTTTGACATGTCTTGTACTAATAGTCATTTTGTTTTCATACATGAATAAATTTTCTGGTTACCAATAAAAAATGTCTTGTACTATAATCAATTGGAGTGGGAGACTCTTTGAGGGCTGAGGTGTTAGCAGCTTTGGAAGGGGTACAAAGGGCCAAAGACCTTAATGTCAAGAAATTGATTATAGAGGGAGATTCTGTGATCGTAGTGGACTGGCTAAAAGAAGACACCTCTAAGATGTGGAGTTACAGTAATGAAAAGAGAAAGTTCAAATGGCTGATCAAGAATATGGAAGTTCAGTATACTTGGGTAAAGAGAAATGCCAACTCTTTTGCTGATGGATTAGCTAGGCAAGGGGTTAATAGGGTTTCTGGGTTCTGGGCTCAGTTGTAATTGTTGTTTTTATCAGTTTGGGTGCATTCCCAACTTCTGGGGAGTTAAGATACCTTAGCTCCTCTTCTTTGTAAGTTCACTACTATTTAATGAAATCTGTTGTTATTGATCAAAAAAAAAATGTCCAAAATGAATATAAATCCTGAATCATTGACAAGGATGACTCCTTTGTAGAGCTGATGTACATGATTGACAACATTCCTGCATTTGGGAAATGGCTCCAATTCTTCTTTGCATTAACTTGATCTTGGTAAAGACTTGGAAAATATATAGAAATTCATGTTGCTTTTGCTTAATTTTGAAAATTTAGCTTGGCTTGTAATATCCTAATTCAATATAAATTGTTATCCCCAAAATGAACCATTATCTATTGCCTGTCCTGGCTATCTGGCATCTTGGGAGGGGGGGATGAGTGGATTCAGATGTCCCATCTGGCATTCTCATGCTTGCCAGCCTGATACTTTACCATTGCACCATGCAATGATGACATCAGTCTTCAGCATGGGAAGAGCTGTTTCTTTCTTGCTTTCATTTGGGGGATGGTGTGTGATTCCATTCACCAGCATAAATAAGTGCTTTTCAAAACCATTCTGAATATTCATCCCTGCGAGGGTTCTCAAACCCAAATTGTTTTACCAGGGTCATGAGACTGAGATCTTCTGTTATACATCCTAGCTTTGATTTTACTTTTCATACTCTGTTCTTTGGTTTTACATTCCTTTAGAATTGGAAAGCATTTGCAATTAACAATGTTTCTTCCAGACTCTTGCTGCAACTAATATGGATGATCAGGAGTTGACAGAAAGCATGCAAAAACTGCTTATTGTAATGCAACGTCTGGATGATAAAATTGCTCCCATGTTAGAAGCAGATGGAGAGTACTTCAATGAGAGGTAAGCCAAGTCTGGAACCCCATGAATAACTGGTAAGCTTGACTTGGTGTGCTTTCATTTCATGAGTCACACAAACGGTTAAATTTCATATATGTCATGTAATCATGTTACATAATGTTGATTAATTAGTTTCCCTAATATAAAATGTGACTTACATGCTGCTGAGTAACCAACTCATGCACAGATCAGGAAAACTTGACCCAATCATATTTCTAAGTTGAGCAGAGCCATTTGATGCCATGGACCATGATTCAATGGACCTATCAGTACTTAATTCATCGAAATCATGAGTTTATATGCTGACTTACCATCTTTTCTGATAGTTGTACTGGATAGTTTGGCTCATGGAGCTCTCTAACATGATGTGTATCAGGTGGGGTTTTCTCTCACGTGCTGGTTTGTGGGATAAAAGTCACTTGATGAGACAAATTGAGAAGTATGTGGTTATGATTGACATTCTCCAATCTGGAATTTCTTCCATGTCTTTCATTTATTCTTTCCCAAATGGTAATTTTGGTTTCTCCTTTCCCCTCCATTTGCAGATATGCGGATATATACACCTCTAGAGTTTCGAATTTCCTACATTATACACCATTCATGTATTTCCGCTCTCAGGAACAGGTAAACCAACCATGCTTTTCTTGAATTTTCAACAGACTGGCTTCTTTAAGTCGAATGGATTTTGAACTGAATTCATGACGAGGAAAATCCAATCAGAGTATTCTTATTTTGTGTATCAGTGAACATGCTAGAAACATCTGTTATTGTGTAATATTATCTAATCATAATGCTGGCGATTTCCAATACATGGAGTGCAAAACCACTGAGAAATATTAACCTTCACAAATACAGATATCACTGAGAAATATCTGTTATTGTGTAATATTCTCTCCTGATTTATCAGGAGGTACGAATGCATAATATTAACCTGTTACACTTCCATTAAACTTTATCTTTGCATTTTAATTTCACCATTTTTTGTATGTACATAATAAGATCTTTTTTACCTGTTGCAGATGCTTGCACATGATTCATATTACTACTATCCTCCACATCTAAACGGATTTGTAGTTGATAGTCTGAGCAAATCTCCTCAAGAATTATAGATTTGGAGTACGCAAGTGGTAGTGGTGATGATTATGACATTGAATTGAATGCCATATTGATCACTTGTGAAGGGCACTTGGAAACATTTTATCCATATTGTACATATTCTTATTGTATATGTGGCTTACTTTGTAGGTGGCATTTCTTATGCTGCATTTTATTGTTTGCATAGAATCTATGGCATTTCTTATGCTGCATTTTATCGTCCTTGGATCCCTTTCATGATGACCACTCATGAACTGTCTAGGTTGGATGTGTATCAGATTCCTACACCAGGAATTCTTGATGGGCACGTAAACACTTTCCTTCATCTAGTTGCTTATTTAAGCATAAATGAATAGCTATGCATACGGATCAATGTTTTTTATCTGGGTTTTATTGATTCAACCGTCAGGATTGCTAATTTCTTGCAACAGTGAGCCAACCAATAGTAGTAGGCAGGAATGGCAGCGGGACGGATTTGGGGAGGGTTTTGTAAATTTTATATCCTATTATTCATCTCCCTATACCTCCCAACCCGAATCCTCCCCAACCCTACCCTTCTTTCATTTTAGAGGGGTAATTCAGATTGACAGTTGGGTCCAAAATCCGCATCTAATTTATCCATCTTCTTAGACCTCCCAACCCATACCCTCAAAACCTTTGGTGGGTTGGATTTTCAGAATCCCTACCCTTCTTGCAAATGAAAATGCAAAACCCTTACTGACCTTACCCTTTCCACATTTAAGGGTGGGGTAATTCGGGTTGGTGGGTTGGATCCAAAACTTGCATCTAATTTTTTATTATATATAAGCAATTGATCAGTAAAATAACATGAACAAACATCAAAATTTCTATTTTTTTTATTAAAATATGTAAAAATACATAATCTATTATCTTTCACATGAGATGCAAAATATTATTAATTCAACACCCAATACATAAGTTCATATGCCTTTTAACAATATATGAATCGTGAGGGTTGGGATGCTCTAGCTTAAAACTGTATTGTATATGGGTTGGAAAATTCCAAAACCTGTCCCCACCCCGAAACCCATTTTTCAAACAAAATGCCACACCATCAAGGTAGATAATAGTAGAAATTACCATCGCTAATGGTGTAGGTCTTGAGGTTCTGTTTGGTTTTAGTCAAAATTGGAATCGGAATGACCTATTCTCCTTAACTGTTTGGTTCAGGCTGGAATCGGATTCGAAAGCAGATTTGGCTGAAATAAATTCTCATTACTAAGGGAGGGAATGGCTATTCACACAAACAGGGAATGCCATTTCACCAAGAATCCAAATCTTCCAATTCCACCCAACCAAAACGGTTGGAATAGGAATAAATTCTAAACCCCTATTCCAACGAACCAAGTGGATCCGGTTGACCTTCTATCATGGTTTTCAAAATTGGACTGGACCAGATGGTCGGACCGGAAAAATCAGGAATCGGTCACGCTTTACCCTAGGACCATTATTTTCTCAAAAACCATTGATTTGGTCAGCAACCACAGATCCAGGTAGTCGAACTGTACGAATCGTTCAATGGTTTGGCCGTTTATTATTTATTTATTTATTTATTTATTTTTTGTCAGAATGGGCATCCATTCAGTTCGAACGGTCGGATCATTCGACCCGAGAACTGGACCCTGAACGGTTTATTCTTCGGTTTGATTTTAAAAACCTTCCCTTCTATAAACCAGTTTACGGATCGAGCTAAAAACTAAAAAAAAAAAAAAAAATCTGCAAGAGCTTTTTGCAACAGTGAACAAGACTACACCATGAGATCAACGAGGCGCTATCTCGTGAATGTGCAATGTACTGCTATTTGCCCCTTTTTATCAGACACCGCTTTTGGAACTATAAGTTATAATGTAATTTAATAATTTTGTGCAATATACCTGGCCTTCTGTTGGTATTTATTTGCGTCACCATGCAAAAGTCGCCCAAGTTTCGAGTGGGGATTGCGTATTTTGCATTTCCATCATTTCATTTTCTAATGACTAATGAGTAATGACTAATGACTAATGCTTTTTGTCCTGTATTATTTACTCATTTTTAAAAGCAGAAGCCAGACTCGGAAATTGATGGCCAAGACTTCCAGGTGTCCATTCCCGTTGTTTCTGCGACGCCATCTCCGGCGATCATTGACCTGAATATTCCACGGAATAAGAATAGCCTGACCCACAAGCAAATCTCAATTGCTTGTTCTCGTTAACCATCTCCATCCATGATTTTTTTTCCCAGTTGGAGCCTTTTAATTGATGGCTCTACTGCTGTTGGTTAACTAATTGCTGCTCTGTTTATCAAGATTCTCCTACCCCTCCTCTTCTCCTGTGATTGTTTTCCGTTTCTTTTTAAAAATTTCAGAAAATCTTGAATGCGTTTCGAATTGGATGGATAGTGAACCGCTCCTCCACTCCCAAATAAACCAAAATCTTGTCAAAGATGGAGAAATCTCATTCGAGAGTCCTCAATCACTGAAAAACAAAGTCACCTTGGACTTGGAAGAAATCGAAAATCAATTTGGTGATATCGTCTCCACATCCTCTTATCAGCTCGAAGGACCTTCAACGGAGTTCGAACCACCGGATGCCCGTAAAAAGACCTGTCTCCACCGCTCCAAGACAGCCCCGGCCATGGCAGTCATGCGAGACCTAAAAAAGAATCAGACCCAGATGCAGGAACCACAGCTCGAGTCCGGTTCCATCATCAGACAGGCCTTGTTCTTCCTCCTAGTATATCTCTCTCTCGGCGTCTTAATCTACTCTTTCAACCGCGACCTGTTCTCCGGCATCGAGACCCACCCCGTCGTAGACGCGCTCTACTTCTGTATCGTCACTATGTGCACGATTGGCTACGGCGACATCGCTCCTCTGACCCCGGCAGCCAAAGTCTTCGCTTGTGGGTTCGTACTGGTGGGGTTTGGCTTCATAGATATATTGCTTAGTGGGCTTGTGAATTATGTCCTTGACTTGCAGGAAACCATGATCTTAACGAGTATTCAAGTCGGTGGAAGCCACAGAGATGGTGGGTTCTCGGCCAAGGACTACATTTTTGATGTTGAGAAGGGAAGGATGAGGATCAGGATGAAGGTGGGTCTGGCATTGGGGGTGGTCTTATTGTGTATTGGCACAGGGTTTATGTTTCTGTGCTTTGTGGAGAATCTGGACTGGGTTGATTCGGTTTATTTGGCGGTTATGTCTGTTACGACAGTTGGATATGGGGATAGGGCCTTTAAGACTTTGTCCGGGAGGTTGTTTGCTTCGGTTTGGCTTCTGTTGTCCACCCTGGCGGTGGCCCGGGCATTTCTGTTTTTAGCGGAGGCGAGGATTGATAAGAGGCACAGGAGAATTGCCAAGTGGGTTTTGCATCGGGACATCACAATTGAGGACTTGCTTGCAGCTGATGTCAATAACAATGGCTTCATCAGGTTGGGTCTTCTGTTGTCATTTTCTTCTCTTTTTCTCCACTAATTTGATTTCCACATATTTCATGTTTTCAGAAGTTCAGAATTCTGGAATCATACTAGTTCAACCTGAAGTTCTTTCTGGAATCATATGGTTATAGTCTATCAATTTCAGTTTCTGGTAGTGATAACTATCTTCTGGTAATTTTGCAAAATTGGACTAGCGTAGATTGAGTTAAAGTGACTGTATCTTCCAGAGGGCTCTGACTGTTGTTTAATTTTTGCAAATTTGTTTGATTTTAAACTCTTTAGGTCCTTTTTATGGTGTTATTACTTTTGATCTTAAAGGAGTGCTTTTGGGTCTTCATTGGTGCCAAATGGTAATTGTAGTAGTTGAACTTTAGACTTCGGAGCAAACAGCAATCTTTTTTCCCCAGTAAATTGCTACATGGCCTTGTATCAATGCAGTAATATTGTGTGTTTGTGTGTGTGTGTGTTTGAATAACATTCTTGTGTCCTTTTATCTGTTCTTTTAATTTTTGTACTTTATTTTGACTTAGAGAGTTTGGTATAAATTTTCTTTGTCTATTGATTCTGATAGTAAAGCCTATTTTGTTACCTCTAGCAAGCAAATCTCTGCAGACCCAAGCAAATTATGTTGAAGATATCCTCAGATAGGAAGCCATTTCTTATGTGTAGTTTTGGAATGATTCTCATTTTCTGGCATGAGCAATACCTCTAGAAGTTTCCTGGTTATCTGGGACAGATCACAGGTGCTTCTGAGACATCTTGATCTGGTGGGAGTACTTATCTTTAAGAAATTACCCAAATAAATTGTTAGGCCACACCATCTTAAATTGAACAAAATTCAGCACATTGCTGAGTTGAAAATATTGTATCAGCATTAATGTTGAGATGCCCAGTACAAACATCTATGCTGGATGTTTCCTTCTGTCTCTTTATAGCATGACTTCGTGTCTTTCAATTTTTGCATCAATGCTGTACTTGGAAGTTGAGGGTTGACAACTATGACCAGAGCATGAAATACTTCACATTTTTCTGTCTGCATTTTAAGCATTCTAAGTGATTGCTTTTGGAAAAATTAAAAAAAGAAGTATACCCAGTGATTTGGATTTCTGAATAGGCTCTTTTCCAAAACTTTCACCGTATTTTTCCAGAGCAAATGATTTGTTTCTAGGTGTTACAATAGTGGTTATCAACAGATATTGGTCAGATCCAACAGACTGTGATCTGAGATAAAGAATGCAGTATTAACACTTTAACAGTAGGAAACTAACAAATTTCAAAATATTATGCATAATTACAAATGGCCTAGACTAACAAAGGTATCTTATTCAACTAGTTTTTACTTGGATGGATTTCCATCAGATTATAAATGTTTATGTAGAAAATAGAGAGGTATTGAATCCCAAAATCCTCTATATCATTACAATTGTTTACTGAAATAGAAGATAGTTGATCTCATCCACATCATCATCATGATCTTTGCATTTCTCAACATAGAAGAAAAAATCATTATCCGCTAAATCATCATTATCTTCTGTCCAAGTGGTTAATTTTCACTCTCATCATCATACAACAATTAAGTTTCTTGCCTTATGACTTCTGCCTTCAGGAATCAGACTTATTTAGCAAAAAAGTAAAAAGAAGAACAATCTCTTACTCTATCCACGAGTGATAAGTTTACAAGCTTTAATCCTTAGAATTTGTGATTTTTTTGAACTTAAAAAAGCATTAAACATAGAACATTTAAATTCAACCACAACCAATTCAGTTTCCATTTTATTAAGAAACTGAATTTAATAACTCACCTATGAAATATAGGGCATCTTTTACAACCAATGTTTGTATTGCACAGGCACCACTCCAATGCCTTGGATTTTGCTTAACCTGTGCACTCTCCCATGTGATGGACCTTGGCACAAGTTGGGCCTCTTTACTTAACTATTTTAATTATGGTCTATCTTTGCAACCTTACCCAACCAAATCTACAAATGGGAGAGCTTAGAACAATTACACTTGAATGAAGTCTGCAATGCACAATATTTACATCATAAATTATATTGGCATCCATATATGGCTCTAGTAGGGGCCATTATTTGGAGTATGAAGGTTGGTTGATATCAAGTCCACTCCCAAAATCCTGGATAGTTGGGACCATATATGTCTCTAATTTTACAAATGAAAGTGTTATTTATCATTTGAATGGTTTAGCAACAATACCTCATGCAACCAGGGTTGTATGGATCCATTAGTCTTCCTAGAAGAGATACTCTAGGCAAAATTGTTGTGGATTAAATAATTTTATTTTAACAACTCTGTAACTTGATATTTTCTGTGACAGTTTACCATGCTTGGTTATCTTTGTTGTAAGATCTCTCCTAGTAGTATCCATAGTATAGTTGAACCGTGTTCCCTGCTAGGCTATCTAGATACCCTTTTTTTCTGTTTTACTCCATTTCTGCTAAAAGCATGGATTAATATTGCTTTTAATGTATAGTTTATCTTCCAATCATTAATTAACTTCTTTTGTTATTCAGTCCTATTAGAAAGACCTCTAATTCTCAATTTTCCTACAGTAAATCTGAGTATGTAATCTACAAACTCAAGGAGATGGGAAGAATTTGTGAGAAAGATGTATTACAGATCTGCAATCAGTTTAACAAGCTCGACCCCAACAATTCTGGGAAGATAACGCTGCCTGATATATTGGAGAGATACAGATATGGGGAAAAATTGGAGATGTAAGTGAAGGATTGAAGGGTGGTATATGTATATAATTTTCCAATGACATTTTACCTAAGTTGCATATGGCCTGTCAATGTCATTTGATGATTGCAACTTAAAAACGAGAAAAAAAAGCATTCATTGGAAGCAAATCAAATTGTAAATGAGCATGGGTTGATTCATTGTTTGGAAGCAAATCAAATTGTAAATGAGTTCGGGTTGATTCATTATATTCTTTTTAATCTCTCTTCTATGCTACAATTGGACTTGTAAATGATTTCTATGTGAAAGAATGGTAGGATCCATCTAATAGACGCCACAAAGGTTGCGGAATGGGTGGGCGAATTTCAAAAATTTTCCTACCTTCTTCCAACTGGGAATCATATTCCCTAAATTTAGAAAACAATATTCAAGGATCATACTTGAACCATAATCAAACCAGCTGTACCAAAAGACAAATGGGAGGAATATACCTGATCCGGAGAAGCAGTATCTCCCAAAGTTGGTGTTCACGCCCAAAGAATGCACCAAGAACCGTTCCTGCTGAAGATGACACAGTTGTGGATGGAACAGAACCAACAGGGTGCGTCCTACACACTGGATCCTTCACAAGAATCCTCTGGAAACACTAAACACTGAATCTTTTTAGTCTTTGTTACAAGACTAATGTCAAGAACAGATTTCTTGACTTTCTTTTTCTACAAAG